AAAAAAAAAAAAAAAAAAAAAAAAAAAAAAAAAAAAAAAAAAAAAAAACAGAGAATATCACAAATAACTCCTAAGAAATATCTTAAACTATGTCATCCCACATCATTCTTTTCCATTCCATCATCAAATCTTATCAGGATCATTAATTCCGCCGTTTGTGATCACATAGGTCGCCTCGCGCTCAGGGCAGTCTGCAGCTGTTAGACAATCTAATATCCTCAGAGCTAATGAGAACTAACCCGGTGAATCCTGGATCTTGGCCACACGTTCATCCCCACGTCCCTTCCGGAGCAGAACACGAGTTGCAGACGCATGCGCCAAGACATGTCCTCCAACAGGCTTACGACCATCAGCTCCTGCAAAGAGGGCACTGGCGCCAGGATCGCTTTGGACTTGGTTTGTCTGGCATTGTCAGCAAGTATCATGTAGGTGAGAGGCAAGGGACTAACCATAAGAACGCAGATGTTGAATTCTAAACCATAGATGAGCCTTGTAGTCAAGAAAGAAGAACTAGAGCGACGTACCTTCAGCCATATGCGAAAGCTTCATCAAGAACTGGTTGAGCTTCTGCTGACGATCCGCAAGCTCACCACGCCCACAGTAGTCCACACGGAAGCAATTCATGATACTATCAATAATCAACAGCCTGTACTCACCGGCCGCAAATTCCTTGCTGAGAGTATACAACAGCTCCAGCTGATGCTCGCTGTTGAGCGCTCTGGCATAAGCAATATTCTCCTGAGCAGACTCCGGATCGACACCGAAACGCTCTGCAATCTGGGCAATACGCTCTGGACGAAAGGTACCCTCGGTATCAATGTAGGCAACTTTGCCATCTGCGCCTCCCATTTCCTTAGGAAGTTGTGCGACGACGGACATTGTGTGTGATAGCTGTGTTTTACCGCAACGGAACTCGCCAAAGACCTCACTGATGCTCATGCTCTGGAAGCCCCTACGACAATTAGAACAAGACCCTGCCAATGATGAGGAGCAACTTACCCTCCAAGAATGGCATCAAACTGCTTGCTTCCGGTCGAGATCCTGGTAACCCTCTTGCGTTGATGATTCAGCTCCATAGCCGTGATGAACCCAGAAGCAGAGGGCTAGATCGTTAGCCAGGGACTATACGCTCGTAGCCTAGACGGTATAAACGAACCAGACACTTCTGAATAGCCTCCTTGACCTTCTCAACCTTGATCTCGCTGAACCCTCGAATCTTCAACAAAGTCTTCCGCGTAGCGCCATGAACGGACTAAGCGTATTAGCCTGGGAAGCGAGAGTAATTATCCAGGAAGAGGGATCCATACAGCAACAGTGTAGAATCCATTCGCCTTGAGCTTTGTGATATCCGCTGCACTAATTCCTATTCAAATATCAACAGACTGATCGGACGACGAGACGAGAGGAACGAGGAGAGCCCTGGACGTACCATGAGCTTGGATACCGTCGATATCAACGATGAAGTCCTGTTGAGCATCGAGACAGTCATACGTTAGCAAGCCATAAAATCTTAGACAGAGGGAAAGGAAAGAAAGGACCTCTAGATCGTCGTTGAACTCGTCGCCCGCGTCAGATCCAGGCATCTTGTCACTGGATTGTTGTAATTTGGGTGTAGATATGGAAGAGATTGATATATAGGTATGAAGGCAAAATAAGAATGATAAAAGTTAAGAGATGGATTCGTGTGGGATGAAGGTGAGATTGGTGCTGAATGAGAAGAGGATTGGATGAAAAGAAGTGTTCGACGAGAGGGCTGCGTTGCGTCAACCCAAAGAGGAAATGGTCAACTTGACCACCATCAGACAACGTGCCATAACTACAAGACGAAAAACAACTAAGGATATGAAGAGACTAGTATTTGAAGAATTTCTTTTGTTTTTGTTTCTTTCTTTGCTTCCCATTTTTGATAATACTAAGATAGCATCGTACACTATCTTATATAGCCATTCCGTACACAAAACACATCGTCCTCGGTCCACCAGTCTCTCACCCGCACTCAATTGAAATTCATCTCCTTGCCTCGTCTCCTTGAATGAGAAGGATGATAATCCACAAAGAAAAATAGACGCCAATTCATGAGACCTGAGTCGTGCATGGGGATCCAAGCCATGTGAGAACCTGGGACTTCGTGAAAACTTTTTTTGGTTCGTCGTATACATAATATAAAAAGAGAAAGAAAAAAAAAAAAAAAAAAAAAAAGAACACCCGGTGCCAATAATCCGAAACAGGGCTGTAATATATGCAAACAAAAGACGGGGGAAGAAGAAAAATTAGGAAAAGAACCCTAATACAATAAGAGAAGAAGAGAATAGTTCCCCCGTTAGATGTGGGATTCGCATTTCAAGGACACGTCAAGTGGTCCCTTTATGCGACAGCAGTGGCGGGAGCTGCTGCGACGGGAGCAGCCTCTGTGCTGGCTTCAGTGGCAACAACAGCGGCGGCAGGGGTGGAGGTCGACTCAGTAGCCTGAGTAGACTCGTTGCTCGGGCACTCCCGAGAGATGTGGCCGGCCTGAGAGCACTTGTAGCAGACCTTGCCGGCAGAGCTCAACGGACCACCGTTGGGAGCGGTGCAGTCACGAGAGATGTGACCCTAGGAATTTGTCAGAAGAGACCCATGGACAGACACTATGAATAGTATACTTACAAGCTTTCCGCAGGCGTAGCACTTCATAGCCTGGGCCTGGCAGTCACGAGCGAAGTGGTTGGGACCACCACACTTGTAGCAGGTGGCAGCACGAGGGTAGCCGCCAAATCCACCGCGGAAACCACCGGTGAATCCTCCACGAGGACCACCGACACCACGACCAGCACCAGCACCAGCACCAGCACCAGCACCAGCACCAGAAGTGGGAGTACCACAGTTGCGCTAAAAAAGACATGTCAGTCATCCCATCCTTGCAATCCTTCAATCCATTGTAACGGGATAGACGTACGGCAAGGTGACCAAGCTGGTTGCAGTTGTAGCAACGGCCGCTAGTACCACCGTTCAGGCGCAATGTAGGACAGTCAGCCTGAACGTGGCCAACTCCCTGGCAGTTGTAGCATTGCTTGGCTGGAAGGAAACACATGTTAACGCTTGTACTTCCCAACTGTCGGATCCTGCGAAGGGGAATTCCTTACTCTCGGTCGTACGAGGCTGCGGGCAGCTGCTGGACTCGTGGCCTGGTTCGAGGAATCAGATCAAAGCTCGGAAGAAAAGACGACATACGTCCGGTACATACCAGCCTGCTTGCCTACAGTAAAAAGTAACGCATTAGCCACAATCCCGAAAAGCAACCATGTAGTTGCGCAAGAATGGGGTTCACCAACAGTTGTAGCAGAGACGCTCGGTCGAAGAGCAGACCTCTATTGTATTCCGTCAGCCAAGCCCCTCCATTTCCGGCCGAATTGGTCCCAATTCCCAGGATATTACTGACCAGCGTAGTGGCCAATGTTGCCACACTTGTAGCACGCACGACGAGAAAGCAACATCTTGACTGTATACTAAACTGATTCTTTTCTTCAGTCAGCCGCAGTCAATGGACAATGCTTGTTGTTCCGTGAAAGTCCGCATTGCGATGTCAAGAAGACCAATGGGTTGACAGTGCTGGCTTCTCCCCTCCTCTCTCGATATCGACCGTTGTAAGACCGTTATGGCAGTTTCCCGGACCATGCGACAGCCCGCATTGCTGCTTTAAAAAAGGCACCCGAATATCCCATCCCAACCCATATTCAGTATCCGAGAGAAGCGAATTGGCCATAAAAAAAAACTCAGGCGAACGATCGAAAAACCGAGAGAGAATCGTAGAGGAAAATCGCACGCAGCCCGTCGAACAAAGCAAATAAAAGTTTCACACGGAAGGACCTTGAAGAAAAACTCACCCTTCCAGAAACCAACGAACGAACTCCTATTCGATTAAGATCTGATTTTCCGCTGTCAGTCCTGAGAACCTTGCTGGTAGATGCTCGATGGTGGTGTAAAAAAAAAAACAAAAAAAAAAAAAGTGGGCTGACAGAAAAAAAAAAATTAAAAAAAAAAAAAAAAAACAAAGAGGAAATTCCCGAAGAAAATTTGCAATGAATTTATGATGGGGGTAAAGGGAAAAAAAAGACCTTTCTCCATCAGGGCCCAATCGCTATGCAAAA